CTGTTTCCTTATTTATTTTCATTTTGGATGATCTGTCCATTGGTGTAAGTGAGGTGTTAAAGTCCCCCACTAGTATTGTGTTACTGTCGATTTCCTCTTTTAGAGCTGTTAGCAGTTGCCTTATGTATTGAGGTGCTCCTATGTTGGGTGCATATATATTTATAATTGTTATATCTTCTTCTTGGGTTGATCTCTTGATCATTATGTAGTGTCCTTCCTTGTCTCTCGTAACATTCTTTATATTGAAGTCTATTTAATCTGATATGAGTATTGCTACTCCAGCTTTCTTTTGATTTCCATTTGCATGGAATATCTTTTTCCATCCCCTCACTTTCAGTCTGTATGTGTCCCTACATCTGAAGTGGGTGCCTTGTAGACAGCATATATATGGGTCTTGTTTTTGTATCCATTCAGCAAGCCTGTGTCTTTTGGTTGGAGCATTTTGTCCATTCACGTTTACGGTAATTATTGATATGTATGTTCCTATGACCATTTTCTTAATCGTTTTGGGTTTGTTTTTGTAGGTCCTTTTCTTCTCTTGTGTTTCCCACTTAGAGAAGTTCCTTTAGCATTTGTTGTAGAGCTGGTTTGGTGATGCTGAATTCTTTTAGCTGTTGCTTGTCTGTAAAGCTTTTGATTTCTCCATTGAATCCGAATGAGATCTTGGTTGTAGGTTCTTCCCTTTCATCACCTTAAGTATATCAGGCCACTCCCTTCTGGCTTGTAGTTTCTGCTGAGAAATCAGCTGTTAACCCTATGGGAGTTCCCTTGTATGTTATTTGTCGTTTTTCCCTTGCTGCTTTCAATAATTTTTCTTTGTCTTTAATTTTTGCCAATTTGATTACTGTGTGTCTCGGCGTGTTTCTCCTTGGATTTATCCTGTATGGGACTCGCTGTGCTTCCTGGACTTGGGTGGCTATTTCCTTTCCCATGTTAGGGAAGTTTTCGACTATAATCTCTTCAAATATTTTCTCGGGTCCTTTCTCCCTCTCTTCTCCTTCTGGGACCCCTGTAATGCGAATGTTGTTGCGTTTAATGTTGTCCCAGAGGTCTCTTAGGCTGTCTTCATTTCTTTTCATTCTTTTTTCTTTACTCTGTTCCTCGGCAGTGAATTCCACCATTCTGTCTTATCCGTTCTTATCCATTCTTCTGCCTCAGTTATTCTGCTCTTGATTTCTTCTAGTGTAGTTTTCATTTCAGTTATTGTATTGTTTATTTCTGTGTGTTTGTTCTTTAATTCTTCTAGGTCTTTGTTAAACATTTCTTGCATCTTCTTGATCTTTGCCTCCATTCTTTTTCCAAGGTCCTGGATCATCTTCACTATCATTATTCTGAATTCTTTTTCTGGAAGGTTGCCTATCTCCACTTCATTTAGTTGTTTTTCTGGGGTTTTATCTTGTTCCTTCATCTGGTACATAGCCCTCTGCCTTTTCATCTTGTCTATCTTTCTGTGAATGTGGTTTTTGTTCCACAGGCTGCAGGATTGTAGTTCTTCTTGCTTCTGCTGTCTGCCCTCTGGTGGATGAGGCTATCTAAGAGGCTTGTGTAAGTTTCCTGATGGGAGGGACTGGTGGTGGGTAGAGCTGACTGTTGCTCTGGTGGGCAGAGCTCAGTAAAACTTTAATCTGCTTGACTGCTGTTGGATGGGGCTGGGTTCCCTCCCTGTTGGTTGTTTGGCCTGAGGCAACCCGACACTGGAGCCTACCTGGGCTCTTTGGTGGGGTTAATTACAGACTCTGGGAGGGCTCATGCCAAGGAGTACTTCCAGAACTTCTGCTGCCAGTGCCCCATTCCCACGGTGAGCCACAGCCACCCCCGCCTCTGCAGGAGACCCTCCAACACTAGCAGGTAGATCTGGATCAGTCTCCTATGGGGTCACTGCTCCTTCCCCTGGGTCCCGATGCGCACACTACTTTGTGCGTGCCCTCCAAGAGTGGAGTCTCTGTTTCCCCCAGTCCTGTTGAAGTCCTGCAATCAAATCCCACTAAGCTTCAAAGTCTGATTCTCTAGGAATTCCTCCTCCCGTTGCTAGACCCCCAGGTTGGGAAGCCTGACGTGGGGCTCAGAACCTTCACTCCAGTGGGTGGACTTCTGTGGTATAAGTGTTCTCCAGTCTGTGAGTCACCCACCCAGCAGTTATGGGATTTGATTTTACTGTGATTGCGCCCCTCCTACCATCTCACTGTGGCTTCTCCTTTGTCTTTGGATATGGGGTATCTTTTTTGGTGAGTTCCAGTGTCTTCCTGTCGATGATTGTCCAGCAGCTAGTTGTGATTCTGGTGTTCTCACAAGAGGGATTGAGAGCAAGTCCTTCTACTCCACCATCTTGGTTCCTAGTCTCTATTGCTTCTTAAAGCAAAATCTTTCAGTATGGTGTTTTATTTTGTGTTCTTTTTGACAGTTTGGAAGATCTGTATTTTATTCTTCTGGAGTTCTTCTGGAGGTTGCCTTTGTAACTATGTAAAAATGTATTTAATCTTTTTTTTTTTTTTTTTTTTTTAGGCTGTACTAGTTGTCTCCCTTCTGAAATAAGTGATCACAAAATTAGTTTACAAATTTGCTCCCAATTTTTATCTGCTTTGGGACAGCTTTTTCTTCCGGTGACTTTTCTTGGCTTACCATATTTTTTCCTGTTCTGTTCCTCCTCTATTTCTTTTCCAACATCTTTGACTATATCATGTGCTGGTTCCTAGTTGGAAGAGGCGGACCTTCCTGGATCAGCATTTTGCAGGGAATGCATGTAGAGGCGATGCCAGGAGGTATTTTAGTAGAGCAGGATTGCTCCCTGGTTCCTGGTAACTCTGTTCACAGGAGTGTGGCAGTGATTTCTTTTAGCTTCTACCCAGTCAGCAGAGATCTGCAGCCCTGGGCTTCCCCAAGTTCAGGCCCTTCTCCCACTCTGCCTCAGCAGCACACTGCTTCCTGTGAAGATGGCAGACCTGTAAAGTTTTCTCTGTTAGCCCTGCCCTCCTCTTTCCCCACAGTGTCAGAGGCAGCTCCCACTGCTAGACCACATACCCTGTTCCCACTGTTCCTGATTAGGAATCATTGGTTTTCTCCTTCAGGGAGGGCCAGCTACTGGCTGGCTCTGCCATCTTCAACTGAGATCTGCAGCCACAGGTGTCTTCTGTAGGTGTTTTCTCACACCTCGTTTGATCTTCACTGGTTTTGGCAACGCTTGACCATTTTTTTGGCAGCCTTTCTTTATAAATTGTGGTTGGATTACAAATGTGTTCTAGTTTTGCTGAAGACAAAATTTGCATTCCTCTTTCTCTTTCTCCTTTATTTTGGGTGATTTTGGATATGAAAAGGAGTAACTATTCTGCTATCTTAGAACTGTCTAGTGTTGTACATTTTTATGTATTCTGGTATTTCCTTAAACATTAGCCAGAACTCTCTGGATAGGGTCAGCATGAGCTGAAGCCGGGGTCTGACAGTAGAAAGGAAAGAAAATGGGAGTCGAGAATAAAACTGGAGGGTTAAAAAAGCAATGCATATTATTGCTGCCTGTGCTATATGGCACTTTGGCTGGGATTCTGCCACTGTTTGGGTGGGAGGTCATGGCCAGGCAGAGCGGGGCATGAAAAACAGCTGCCTCCTGATCTATCTCAAGGAAAGCCTAGGAGCTCTCAGACCAGGGAGGGGAGGACACACACCTCTGCTCTGGACAGGTTGCAGGCCTCAGCTCTCCATCTCTTCCCACACCCGGGGCCCCTCCAAACAGCCCAAGCACCCTGGATTCTGGCTAGTCTCTTAGTGATGGTGGCCAAGTCCTGAAAACCAGGATCTTGTCTCAGCGGAGGTTGCCCAGGGTCAATGCTGTTAACTATGTTTATATGCCTAAGGAAAGAGCTAGCCCATCCAAAGGGAAGGTGTATATGCAGGATGCCCAGAAGAAAGAGCCAGAGAGGAAAACCTGCCCGCAGAATCTCAGGCTTGACTTTTGATATTGTCTCTTAGCTTCCCACACCACCTGGAGGGAGCATTTTACCCCCCATTCAACAAATGAGGAAACTGGAGTCTTAGAGAGGCTAAGAGACCTTCCTGTGGACACACAGCTAAGAGATGGAGAGAGGGACTTGCATATACTTCTCGCTGGCTCCAGAGTCTGGACATCAACTCTCTCATCCCCCTGCCCCCAAATCACCTTCCCATGGAGACCCCACCCCACCCTCAGATGGTTATCTTATGTCCATGTCCACATCCCTGGGTGACCTTGGTGGATCCTTGCTCAGTGTCTGGCTTCTCAAGCCTGGCTGCACTTTAAATGCTGTTTAAGTTCCCCAGGGCAGCCAGGGATGGGAACCAATGGGCCACACCCTAAACATCTTTGACCCCCTGTCTTGGGCACTTTGTCCCCCCCAACCTTGGCACAGGGCTTGTTTCTTGGGACCAAATGCATTGGGGTTCTCTATGTTCTGTGATCTTGAGCAAATCACAACTTCTCTGGGCTCAGTCCTTATTTCTAAAATAAAATTGCCTGTGACTGCTCTAAGAGCCGAACACAGACTCTGAAGCCAGATGGTCTCAGTGTGAATCTGGGATCAGCCCCTTCTTAACCGTGGGACATTGGTTAATAACTTATCTCCTCTATACTCTTTACTTTTCTCATCTGTAAAATGGGAATGATAATGAATGTCTTATAGGGAGGTCTTAAGGATTAAATGAGCTAATAAATATGAATCACTTAAAACAGTGTCTGGCATATGGCAAGTTCTAGATAAGTGCCAGATATCATTCGATTCATTAGTTATTATTATTAATGCATGCCCGGGGCCCAGCCAAGGCATGGGCATAAGTGGCTGTCGAGGCTGCTGTAATAACCCGCGTCCTTTGCTTCCTTACAGGAGCTTGGGCCCCTGCCCCAGCCCCGCAGAGGCTGTGGACGTGTACGGTCCGGAAGCCTGGTTTCCAGCCCCGTGGCCCATCCCTGGCTGCGGGGAACGGAAGCTCCCACGAGGTAGCGGTGGCCCGCAGCGGCCCCGTCCCGGCAGCGAGCCATGGGCCAGAAGCTCTCGGGGAGCCTCAAGTCGGTGGAGGTGCGAGAGCCGGCGCTGCGGCCAGCCAAGCACGAGCTGCGGGGAGTGGAGCCGGGGCGGCCGGCGCGGCTGGACCAGCTGCTGGACATGCCGGCAGCGGGGTTGGCGGTGCAGCTGCGCCACGCGTGGAACCCCGAGGACCGCTCGCTCAACGTCTTCGTCAAGGATGACGACCGTCTCACCTTCCACCGGCACCCGGTGGCGCAGAGCACGGACGGCATCCGCGGCAAGGTGGGCCACGCCCGCGGCCTGCACGCCTGGCAGATCCACTGGCCGGCGCGGCAGCGGGGCACACACGCTGTGGTGGGCGTGGCCACGGCGCGGGCCCCGCTGCACTCGGTGGGCTACACGGCGCTGGTGGGCAGCGACGCCGAGTCCTGGGGCTGGGACCTGGGCCGCAGCCGCCTCTACCACGACGGCAAGAACCGACCCGGCGTGGCCTACCCCGCCTTCCTGGGGCCCGATGAGGCCTTCGCGCTGCCCGACTCGCTGCTCGTGGTGCTGGACATGGACGAGGGCACACTCAGCTTTGTCGTGGACGGCCAGTACCTGGGCGTGGCCTTCCGTGGCCTCAAGGGCAAGAAGCTTTACCCGGTGGTGAGTGCCGTATGGGGCCACTGTGAAGTCACCATGCGCTACATCAATGGCCTTGACCGTAAGTGCAGCCTGCTGAGGGGGGAAGGGGTGGGCAGGGGTGGGTCCAGAGGCTGCCTGTCCCAGGCAGAACTGGGGGGGGAGGCGGGGTAACGCATCCTCCTGAGGCCCCGTCCTCCATCAGCACTTGGGATAATCCTGCGGTGTGAACTCGTGGTGAGGACGTGGACTCCGAGGCCAGGCTCCTGGGTTTGGACCTTGACTCTTTTTTGCTCGCTGGGTGATCTTGGAGTGTGCCTCAGTTTCCCTTTCTGCGAAAGTGGCTCAATGATAGTAATCTAGCTCCGGGTTGTTGTGAGAAATCAAATAAGATAATAATGTATGTGACGTGCTTAGGACAGTGCTTAGAACTGACGCCTAATAAGTGATTTGGGTGTTGATGCTAATTACGAACATTTCAGTCGCTGTAAGGGTTGTGCAAAACGAGGTCTCCCGTGTTTCTGGCTTCAAGTTCACAGTGGAAGGAGAGTGACAAGTAGAAGACACAGTCCCTGCACTTGAATCCCATGCACTCGCGTTACTGATAAATAATAAGTAGTGATAACTATCATTTATTGAACACCTACTGTATGCAGGGGCTGAACACTCAAATCTAGGTCTTCTTGCTGAGCTCTCTGTTAAAGGGGGCATCTGGCTGATTATTGCCTCATGGGAATGAGAGCCACAAGTTGTGGAATCTTCTGATTTCTTTCAAGAGGACCTAGAAATCTAGATTTTGTGTGAACAATTCCAATTTTTAACGTTGGCAGCTGCTTAAGACACCGTGTGGACACACAAAACACCCTCGCAGGTTGCACAGAAGCCCACAGGCTGCTGTGTTTGACTGCTGACAACTCTAAGGCCTCCTCTCATTTAATATACACAACCATCCTGTGAGGCAGCTTAAAAATCCTAGTAACGAAAATAGTTCTTGGTTTTAGGAGGGAGTCACTTAGGGAGGCAGGGTGGCCTCTGGACAGAGGTGCATGTGGTCGCCTGTCCCGTGTTGAATCCTAGCCGAGTGGGGCCTGGAGTCAGTCACCTGTGAGCTTGCACACACCTCATCCAAACAGACTACCTGCCACACCCCTGACGAAGCTCCCAGTGCTGGGCGCTTAAAGCCAGAATTCCAGCTTATTCATTTTAAATGAAAGATATAATTGCCCCCCTTCAGAGAAGAGACACTCAAGAGCAGAGCTATGGAGAACCAGAACCCGAACCTCCCCAGGTCTGTCAGCCTCCAAAGCCCACTCTTCCCATGCTCCCCCCTTTAGCTGAGGGGCTGAGAGTGAGACTGCAGAAAAGAGGTCAAGAACAAGATTTTACTCAAGTAAAAATTGACATTGACTCAGGTTAGCGTGGGTTGACCATTTTCAAGGGTGACAGACCACCAGAATGTGGCTGGTGTGCTCCACTCTGTGGTATAATTGGGGACACTTTTGCTCATAGTTCATTTCCGTGGTTGTTGGACTCAGGTTGCCACTGAATGGCAGAGTGGCCTGTTTTCTCTGATTAACTGGTTAAGTAAAGAGAGGATGAGTGTGTCCTGAATCGGGCTAGTTTAGTCACCGCAGTGCCTTGTGGAGAATGTTGAGAACCCTCAAAGACACGATGACCAGGCAAACCCCAGTGCTTAAAAAACCAACAGCAACAACAAATACTCTCTTTAAATGGAATTGGAAAATCTACTTGCCAGAGCTGATCACTGGACTACAAGGATGGCCTTGGTGTACCAAGACTCTGGGGTCTGACATGCCTCATTTCCCACTGCATCCCCACTGCTCAGTGGCTTTGTGTCTCTGGTGAGTCACTCTAATGCTTTAGGGCTCGTTTTACTCATCTGTAAAATGGAACAGTGTCAGGTCCCTTTCACAGCTGCTGTGAGATCTTGTGTGACGGCACCAATAATATGGTAGCTGGGATTAAAGGCTGGCACTGATACCCAGAGGAATTACCTGAGCCAACCATTGGGCCCCCAAGGTGGGCTTCCTCTTGGGTATTGATTCACACTATTGTCTGTTGCTTGGTTTACTGGCACAAAACTAAGGTGCTAACAAGGTTGCAGCCAGTGGCTCCCTGACGAAGGATAGGATCAAGAGTATTCAAGCCATGGTGTTCTGCTTGGTGTGCTGCTGAGAGTAGAGGCTGGGTGGGAGAGGACAGTCGTGATCAGAGCATTTTGAGCTCTTGGATCCTTCAGGTGGCTGGAGATGCTTGGTGAGACTAAAACTTGGAGCATTCTATCCTCCCTGTTGGCAGTGATTTTTTCAGGTTGGCTGAGGCTAGAAAGCCCATCCAGGAGGCAAGGGGAGACAAGGCCAGGATGTCATATGATGCGAGCCTGTGGCATCTCCTATTGGGTGACAGGATTAGGCTTGAGTGCTATGCTGCTGGCCCCTTCTCCAGACAGGAGTGATGTTCTCTATCTTGGGCAGGGTGTGATTGCAGAAAGGGGGAGCTCAGCTTATTTGAACAAGCCCTGACTACAGGGTGAGCCACCAAAGAACAGGCTGAGGGGAGTCTGACGGGCTGGCTGGGAAGGGACTGTGTGATGCCTGTAGCTAGTGACCTGGGCTGAAGTCCAGTGGATCCCTGGACACCGAGAAGGGTTTGGCCCTAGGGAGTCCCTGGGGCAGGTAGGGTGACCCAAGGTGGAATTCTGTGCATGAAAAGAATTCTGAGCCAATAGGTTGTGGACACGAAGGTGGGTCCCCAAATTCAGACCCAACAAGGGGGTTAGGTGACCACAATTAGAGACAGGCTCTAGGGCAGAAAGGCAGGGCCGCTCTCTGGGGTTGCTTCCCCACAAGGCCATGGCGGGTAGAACAGATGGGGTTAGAGTTTGGTCCCAGGACTCACCAGGAGGCCCTGGACGATGATTACCTCCTCTCTCTGGACCTCGGTGTTCTCCTTTGTAAAACAGGCATGATAAAGCTTGCCAGCACAGAGCAGGCCCACAGCAACTGGTGCTTGCTGCTTTGACTAACTAGGTGAGCTGGGCCAGGTCCGGGGCTTCACCTATGGATAAAAACAAAAGTGGCCTCAATAAGAGGCTTCCCTTCTAATGTGTAGGAAGGAAGTTAATGGGCATGATTTTCTCAATTTTTGATTTTTATGACTATGAAGGCAAGACTTAGAAAGAGCTAACTGTCTGTAACTCTGAAGTATGTGGCTGTGGAGGACAAGAGCTCCTGGAAGTGCATTTTCCTATTACAAATGTGTTCTTCGGCTACACCATGGAACGAAACAGCTCAGCATCTTGGGGGGTTTACAGTAGAGAGCTGCAGGACGCCCGGGGCTCTGCCATCTGAGTGAGCTGGGAAGCGCAGAACCGAGGCCAGGCAAACAGGCCAGCTGGCTCCGGATGACTGGGTCCAGGGTCAAATAATAACAGCACCACACTAACAACACTTCTCTGATACTTAGTCTGTGCTGGGCTAGATTCTAAGCACTTTACAAATTTTAATTCATTTAATCCTTGTAACAACTCTTTGAGCTAATACCTTTATTAGCATCTTCATTTTCCGATGAAGAAATTGAAGCCCAGAGAGCTTGAGTAATTTGCTCGAGGTCACACAGCTAATAACTGGCTCAAACTGAGGCCCACTGGCTTAGTGGGTCCCTTGTGGAGATGTTTACAGACAAGGCAGGAAGAGAAGGAATAGGAGAGGCTGCTCCACCGGGCTGGGTGGCCACTCAGCAAAGGACTGGACCCTTTCCTTCAGTGGTGAGTTTGGAGGAGGCCCTGAGATGCTGTCCCTCCCCCCGGTTTCTCCTCCAGCCCACAAAGCTCTTGGCTGAGCACAGCACTCCGCGGGTCGTTCTGAAAAGCTAGTTGCATATAGACAGCCCCAGCGGTGGCTGTGAATCAGGCATCCTTCGGTCGCTAACAGGAGAATGTCACTGAAAATGTCCCAACTGCTGTGAGGGTGGCCCGTGGGGTGGGCCAGGCCTTTGGAATCTGCTCCGGGCTGGTTTCTGGAAGGCACCTCCTTCCACATGCTGGCGGCCAGGAGGGCTGACAGAACGGCTTTGTCTCCTGTCTTGGAGTTCTTGTGGTAGTGAGTAGTACGCGACTGACACAGGAAGAGGAGAGGGGACCCCAGACGGAGCAGCTTTGATTTGAGGGTCATAATAATTATACGTTTGGGGGAATCCACCCAAGTTCTGTGCCCTGGGCCAAGTGTTTTACTCATTTTCTTTTTTTTCCAGCCCACGCAATAAACCTTGAGGCAATGTCATTGTTATTAAACCCATCTTATAGGAAACTGACTCTGGGAGAGGTGATGAGTTAGCCCAAGGCTGCACGGCTAGCCAGTGGCAGAGGTGCCCTGAAACCCGGGTCGTCGTGATCATTCCCGTGCCTCCTGCTACCTGGGCCGGCCCTGCTGCCTCCGCTCTGCCCGCTGATTCCAAAGAGCAGGTGTCCGAGCCCAGGGCTGACTAAGCAGGGACGGGGAGCGGGTACCCCAGGATCTCAGGCCCAGCGGGCAGGGAAGCCTTGTCCACTTGCTTCGAGGGAAACTGTCGTTCCAGACGTCATTCCTAGATGGTTTAATTGATCTGCCAACAAGCATTTATTGGCACATCAGCTCAGCAGAGGAGGCTGGCATCCAGCCAAGGCTTCTGGTACTGATGAAGGGCAGAGAGAGTTTTCTACCGGGATGGCTGCAAGGACACCGTCCCCTTGCCAGAGCTGTGTGCACTGCACTCACGACCTTCCTGCCCAGCTCCCCTGTGTGGCACCATCCTCTGGACTCTGCTCTTCCCCGCTCCTGAGCCAGGTCCAGGCCTGGTCTCCCCTTTGCCCTGCACCCTATCATTCTGCCCTGACTCCAGCTCACCACAGCCCTCAACCCAGGGCTCTGTCCCCTGCACCCCCAATTCGAGGCTGAGTCCTCCTCCCATCCCCTCCCCCCAATCCCCGCTTTGCCCGAGTCACTCACTTTTCCACATGTGTATGCCTTCTTTCCCCAGGTGGGTGTGAAGCTCCCCAGGGCACAGATGGTCAGCCAGGAGGCA